TTATGAGGATCTAGAGCCTACTTTCATATGCAAAGGAAAGCAATAGTTAAGGTAGGCAATGCAAAAGTGTGAGTGACATGTAGTTTTAAAATCTGCATGAAACACTCATTTATTATCCTCCAAGATCTGAAGGTTACACCACAATCCTATGGTTTTTTCTCATGAAATCTTGTATCTACTTTACTCTTGAGAACAAAATATGGGGAAGAACATAAGTAGAGTAGTTTCTTATTGGCTATCCGATGAATTAAGATGACATGAAAGGCAAAATCCTTATAGCATTTATGGGGTGCAATGGCCTCTTTACAACTTATAAAATTTTTCTTAACAACTTTGTTCCATGAGGTTTCTTCAACATGAAGAGAGCAAACGAGCTTTGTCCCATAATTGCCCATTAACAATTTATTAATCTATCCTTAACCTTTCCACAGGTGAGTTGTGACGGGGGGTCAATTTATCTTCAATTATTAATTTTAAGGATCCAAAAGAGAACACTAGACTTACTCTATCAACTTGATTTCCAACAAGCATCTTGACACAGTCCTTATTGGTAGAATAGAGCTCCACTTCTTTGGCCCAAACATCAGACAAACTCGTGAAGGTTTCTCTCCGTGTTACATCATAAACTATAACCAAAGCCAAGAAATAATTCAAACAATTCTGGCAATTTAAACCATGGGCAAACAATATATGTAATTCAACACCTTGAGCAGAATAGACAAGAATCATGATTGAAAATTTATTTGGGACAAGAATATTATTTCTAGGATCAAGCAATCATGATTGTGAAATGATGAGCCAAGGTCAAGGTGGCAAATACTTGTACCATAAACAAAAATGCATCGAATTGTATGATAGGGCTCCTTCAAGCCAGCAAAGCAGATGTTCGCAGAAAGGATTGACAAAGGCATTGAGAATACAACTAAATTATGGAATGAAGGATACAAAGAAATGACTTTTTATTTTCAGCACTTATGTGTGTGAGAGAGAAAGAAACCAAACATGTCCAAACTGCTTTCTGTATGCTTCCATCTTTTTAAATTAAACTACGATTGCGTTTATTTTTCTTAAACAATTTATTACCTATTTAACCTATATTTGTCATAATCTTTCAGCATCTATAACCCAACTCCTACTTACTCAGCCCAGGAAGATAAGCTTGATCAACATTTTAACATTATGCAAGTCTATATTCATGACTGTGTCTGCTATACTGACATAAGAACCAGTTCCTAGTCTTTTTATCAGGCACACGAATAATTATGATAGCATAGCGCGGTGATATCAGATTGCTAAGAACTTGAAATTTGAAACCAGTGACAGGCTCCGTCAAACAAAATATGAAAGTAGAGTAACACATACATGCACCAGAATGATGAACCTACCAAGTATGATCCCATGGGCACCTCTATAGTAAGATCTTATTAATGTTCTGAACCTTTCCTGTCCAGCTACAAGAAGCATTATGGTTCCACAAATCAATCATGTTTTCTCCATGTTGCCTGACAATTATTTTAATGTATTTTTATAAACAAAAAAACTGAATAGCTAATAAAAGATCAAAGAAGCAACATCAAGCTAACCAGGTCAAGAAAGCATTTTCTTCTCACATTTGAAAAGTAGCAACCTACAGCTAACAACAAAATTAAAAAACCCGGGAACTCATTTCAACTGGTTAATACATCATCAATTGTATGTCTTTTAACCAAACACGATTTACCTAAATTTCCTGAAAATTTGATTTCAAAGTTGATGCTGCAGAGTGCAGAATTGGTGCCATAACAAAAATAGCAGATAAAAAAACATTAACAAAAACATTTTTATATAATTCTGTAGAATGGTTTTTATGAGAAAACTTTGTCAAAATTTGCAGTGGTAACAGTTTAATGATAGAGTTAAATAAAGGTCAACATCCAAGCGGCAAGAAGTGGAACAATAGGAACAAAACTCGGTTAAAAATGATGCCAATGTCATGCTAATGCATTAGTGAACATTAAGTCAGTAAAAATGAGCAGTCTCCTATGTGAAATAAAGAAGTCAATTATAAGCATAGACAATTGACTTCAATTAGACTGACAGATTTTGACAAAGAAACCAAATTTGAAACTGAAAGACTAATGATTGAGTTTCATCCATACCAGTATCCCAAATAGTAAGCTTTAATCTCTTCCCACCAACAGTTAATAACTTGATGTTAAGATCCACACCTACAACATAGATTCAAACAAAACCCAAATCAAAATTTACCATAAAACTAATAAAAGATCCAGGACTGGTAAAGTTAAGAAAAAAGGAAGAGAAAATGAACCAATGGTGGTAGCTAGATCTGCTGCAGAATCTGAAATGAAGCTAACAGCCAAACTACTCTTGCCGACACCCGAGCCTCCGATCAACACGATCTTAAATGAATGATCATAGCTTTCACTACTTTGTCCTGAAGATGATCCCATTTCAATATTTCTATCCAAAAACAAAAACTCAAACTTTTAAATCTCTCCTTTTTCTCTTCTTCTTCCTCAAAGTCCCTGTTGTATCCAATGATGATCACACCCTTAGAAAAACAAACTTGGGTGAGAAAATGAATGGCTTCTTTCTCTCAAAAGTACAGAGAAAAAGAAATGTAATATATAAAGAAAAAAAAGAAGGAAATCTTTTTAATAGAGAAAGAAAGAATCAATGCGTTCCTTGAGACAGAAGCTGAATCAATGCGTTCCTTGAGACAGAAGCTAAAGGAAAACTGCTAACTGGAACATCTGACATCAACATGTTCTTTCCTTTTTCTTCTTTTTTTTTTTTTCTTGTCTTTCTTTTACATTGATGCGCCGTAGTTTTCTAGAGAGAGAATAAAGGTTAAGTAATGATATACAAGGAATGGAATAAGGCTAAGGGTCGCACGCTATAAAGAACATATATTCAGGGAATATATATACACTGAAATCTTGGTAATGACAAAATTTGGAGATTCTCCAATATTTGCCATCCCACTTTTGCTGATAATTTGGCTTCCAAGGTAAAAAAGTATACAAGGAATGGAATAAAGGGTTGCATGCTCCAAGCAGCATATTTTCAGGGAAAGTATAAAGAAATGTGAAAGGGAAAATGGATAAAACCACTTGACCTGTCTGTGTTCAAGTTTGTTGTCAGTTTCTTTCTTTATAATCCAAGAAAGTGATCTCCATCAGATATTAATCAAGATCGTAGAAAAATCACACGCATTCAAAGTTTAAATTAAGATAAGTTATTTTAATTGTAATTAAAATATATATTAAATAAATTTTATTATAATTAATATTTAAATTTAATTGATGATAAGATGAGCTCAATTTTTTTTCGATAAATTCAAATTAGAAATTTTGGGAATCCTACATCTAACCGCCCAAATTATCTTATGGGCTTAGCCTGGATATCCAAACATAGAGCCCAAGCACACTTAGAATGGGGATTTGCCACCGCCATTGCCATCCACAACCTAGCAACGCCTAATCGCCATTTAGATCAACAGTTCAGTGTGCAGTTCAAGCCAGAAAAACCCCTAATTGAAACCCTGACAAAGAAGAAGTGAAAAGCCGAAGGAAGAATCAAGAGAATCATGGACAGAGAATGGGGCTCCAGACGGAAGCCATGGACCGTCGTGAGCGCCTCCGTCGACTCGCCTTCGAGAGTCGAAACCATTGAGCTCACCAAATATCCCTATTTCATGCGCAGCCAACTCGGCAGGTGTATAATTATCTACCAAATTCTCCCATTTTTCCTTGGAAGTTCGATTTTTTTTTTTCAGATTAAATGTTATATATTTTGGGCCAGTTATGAGTGTAAGCTTTGCTTGGCGCTACACAACAATGAAGGGAACTACTTGGCACATACGTAAGGGCAGCGCCACCAGACCAATTTAGCTAAGAGAGCGGCGCGTGAGGCTAAGGATTGATAAATCCACTCCCAAGTTCTTCTCGCAGGGATCCTGAGTCAAAAATGTTCACGGTTAGTTTGTTTAACATGAGCCTTACTGCTTCGTATGTTTATCTCTTGTCGATTCTCCCTTATCCTTCTTTCACCTGCACCTGTTGACCATTTTGGCGTTGTAATGATGAGACTGTCTATAGGCTTAATCCTTCTCTTTGACAGGTTTAGTTGCTAATTTTGCATAAAATAACTAATAATTTTTCAAAAAAAAAAAAGGATGGTATCTTTACGATTTTTGGCTTTTATCAAAATGCAGCTGCAGGTATATTTCAAAACCAAGCCACTAGAAGCAAATAAACCTCGACCGCCCCCTGGAGCCAATGGTACTGCAGCGCCGGGTGTTCCTCCAAGGCCTTTGCCCCCACCACGTCATGCTCCCCCACCACCACCACCCCCTCCACCACAAGAACTGCCAAACACTCCTAGAGCCCCTCCACCTCCAGTGCCTGGTTCAATACCACCAGCACCACCTCCTATGGGGAATGGTCCTAGGCCTATGCATTCACGAGTAACCCCTATTGCCCCATAGGCACCTACTGGGGGTAGTTGGACAATGGCAAATTTCACTACCTAGGCTTCCAACAATCCCTCCTCCACAAGGTTTTCCTGGTCAACCGATGCAGGGCCAGGGATTGCACCCACCCCCACCACCTCCTAACATGGGACAGTAGGTTATCTGGCTTTCAGTGTCTCGATAGGCATCTCTCTATCGAGATTTTTTAATCATTTTTGTCAGATATGCAGATCAAGCTGGTGATGGGATTTACCATTAGCTGAGCAAAAACATTTTTTATCATCAATTTATTAATTAATATGATACTTATTTTTAATATAATTAATTTTAAATAATATAATGAACAAATAATTTTTTTTAAGTATCATATCAGTGAATAAATTTATAATTTAAATATCACAATAATTTTTTTTAAAATTAAAATATAATATTAAATGTTTTATTATAATTCAAAATTATTGGTAATATTAATCTTTTCTGCAATTAACCTAAAATGCATGTCATACCAAAACAAAAAAAAAGAAGAAAAAAGGAAATGAAATGCACGAATCAGAACAAGGTGCAAATAATAGAAGAATCATCGAGCATGTGCTCCAAGAATGTCATAAAACAGAACATAACAATGGCAAGAAACTATTCCTCACTATAAACATCATCATTACTATAAACATCATCATTAAAATCTGCTCTAAGAGCAGATCCTTACAAATGCTTTACATCACCTGGAGATGACCATCTTGAACAAGGATTTCGGCATTGCCACTCTGTGTATTGGAATGGTACCAGGCATTCAATTTCTCAGAACATTTGCCCATCTTAAGGAAACTCATGAGAGGCGCACAACATGGACCCAAAACTTTGTCAACTTATAATGGAGTTTGGAGGAAATACCTTCTGAATGAATTCCAAGAACCGTTGCGAGTAGAATGTAGGGTCTACAGCAGATATGGACACAGAATCAAACTGAAGAGATTTATAGGCATGTTCAATCTTCTTAGTCATGTTATATTCTTGTAAAATGTCGATGATACCCAAATACAGAACAACATCATAAGCTTCATGGAACATGTTTTCTTCTTTCCCTGGAATCTGCTCAGCCCTGGCTGGCATGTTCACACCAAGCTGGATCTGGAGTCTGTTCAAGAAGTGATAAACAATTTCTTAAAAATTATCCCTCAAAAGATAGAAGGTTAAGAATCAAAATTCACATGCTGCAAGAAACCTCAATATATATAGCCAATTTGTACATATATACAAGTATATCACTTCTATCCTTATTTTCTTTTCATTTAGGCTCCGTTTGGTACAATGGAAAATCACTTCAAGAAACGGTTTTCCACATTTTCCTATGTTTGGATGGCAAAAAACGAAAAAAATCAACTGAAATTAATTTTCCAGTCAAAGCTTAACAGTGCCTATTTTGGAGAAGGAAGACAATTTCCCCAGCTTCAGAGGTCACTTTCCTTCTCTTAACTTCAAATCTTAAATCTTTTTTTTCTTAGCCTACATCCTTCATTGATGCAATAAAATTTCCTTCTCTTACTCCGAATATACTCTTTTTTTCCCTTGATTTCTTTCATTCCTTCAAATATAATAAGCTACCAAGAAATCTCTTAACATTCCCAAGGCAGCCAAGAAGAAAACTCACTAGATCTAATAAAAGCCTTTTTCTTCTTCACAAGCTCTCTCTCTCCTTCATGATTTCCCTTTTTAAACTTCAATATCCAAACTAATCTTGTATACTCACGAGTATTTTGAAAAAAAAAATCAACCTTCTTTTTTTCTAAAATTTTGTTATTTGGTTCTTTTATTGTGTTTATTTTATGGGTTTTTATAAATTTAAAATTAGTATGTTTTTGAGTTAAAAAAGGTTTAGAAGAGAGGATGAAAGGAAAGAGAAGATGAACAGTGAATGTTCTTGAATTTTCGGTTGAAACAAAGGAAAATATTTTCTTTTAAAATGATCCAAAAACCGGAATTTTTTTTTTCCAGAAAATATTTTCAAATAAAATCTTTTATTTTCTGGAAGTTGTTTTTCGGTAACCAAACAGAGCCTTAGACTAAGAAAATATGGCTATTTGCCTATTTATAAAAAAGCTGAGCAAGAATGAACTTTGTCATAGCTATGGTAACACACAACACATATTTTCGGCTTGCCAAACTCTTTAGAGGTGACAACATATTTGTGTTATCTCACCTTTGTTCTGTTTCTATGATCCCTTCTGGCAGGGTTTGTACAAATCAAATACCCAGATCCACTAAGGCAACTATCAAGAAATCTATTTTTGGCTTTCTAACTTTGCAAGAAAGGAACAACACCATCATGTCATGTTAAGATATCATACCTTTCTGTGCCAGGGAGAAGGAGATCCACTTCCTCATCACCTGCAGCTGATGCTCGCAAACGTCTACCTCGTATATGAGAACCCACAACGACACTATTGTCATCTGTTCCATGAGGGACCAATACAAGGCCTTGTGGGTAGTTGGTGATTTCATCCTCCTCTGAAATATGAACACCAAGAGATTTTGAAGTCAGTCAAATGTCCTTCAGGATGATGCAAAAGTTGTAGGCATGCAAGAAGTTGGATCAGAATCAGATAATTACGGCAAAGACCAGATTATAGGGTGTGGACTATGTACCATGCACGACATATATGGTTCTATCACTGACCAACGGAACCACATACCATCTTAAAGAATCCAAAAACTATTAAAGTCAAAACAGTAAGGAGTTGAGGTAGTTTGTTGTTTTAGTAGTTTGTTGTTTTAAATATGTCCTTTGTAGTGTATTTATCTAACCTCTATATTCTGGGTTCTGTGAGAGGTAAGCTAAGAATACACATTGTCATGCATGTAAATGATTTCGAGAGAATTTGCCATCTCATTTCATCTTTTTCTTTTGTTTTTTGTGTTTTTTTTTAGTGTGACAAATTACATCTTAAAGAAATTCTAATTTTATTTGTCGAAATGTGGTAATTATTTTCTCTTTCCACAGATTCTGCTACTCTTATGTCACCAAATCCAAATGCTTAAAAGACACTGAACTTTAAAATCCTGTTCAAGAAAAAAAATAAATGGAAAACACAGTATGCTACATCAAACAGATTGAAGAACCTAGAAGATACTGCCAATAGCAGATCGAATTTTAATAATGCCCACCTTCCTCAGCAACACTCCCTAATCCATCTGCTCTGTTGTAGGACATGAGAGACCTCAAATGCTGAGGTGCTCGATAATGCACACCAAGCAAAAGGCTATAATCCATAATGTTTTGTGCTTCCAAAAATTTACTGTCAATCTCTATTTGCCTGCAAAAATATATATAAATGCAATAAAACCATGCATAGGAAGGTAAACCAATTATATAAAAATGCTCTTTTAGTAGGATAGAAAAGAAACAATTTTATATCTTGAAAGCTGTCCAGTTATGTTCTCAAAATCTTGGGCTAATTCAGATATTACTGCAAAATAGTATACTAAAAAAAAGGGATCAATAGCAATATTACACCCATGAACAGTTCACATCACCAATAGACCAATAATATGTCAACTTCAAAATTTAGGACAATAGTAAGACAGAAAAGCTACAAACTCATCAGTTACCTTAATAAAGCCTCCCGCCAAGAAGGTTCCAAATAAAAGCAGTAGTTGAGATCCAAATCTTTAAGTGTTGTGTTCTCATCAATTTCAACATTGTCTGTGGAACGACCTAGTGATGATCCTTTCAAGTCAAATCTTCTATGAATCCGCAACTCAGTGCAGAACATATTTCCCATGACTACAAAGCGAAACTGCGAAAGGATATGGTTTATGGTTGTTAGCTTCTAATCATCAAAAAGCATTCCACAAACTTTAAGGAACCTTTCATTACATACCATGAAATAAGGGAAAACATAGTCCTCAGTCACAGTACATAACAGTTATTTTATTCAAGCGGATTCGGTGAAACCACCTTATTAAAGTGTATGGATTGAGGTAAAAAGCCCAATTGCATAGGAAAGAACTCTACTGTACTTATTACCTTTTGACCACTTGATGGTTTGATTCTGTGAAGACCAAAAAATTTTGTTATGAGTGTGTTCTCATATAACCTCACATGATGGTGATAGTTCGGAAGCATTCTTAGAAGAACCTATATGCAAGAATTCAGTCAATAAAACCTGCAATCATCTGGGGAAAACGAGGAACAGAAGAAGAAATAGAAACAGAGATAGAATGCAATTGCAAATGCTTTGTGGTATGGTACTGATTTTTAATTAAGGAGTTTGAAAAGTAAAAGAATTACATACTAGACAAATGTCTATTGCAGAACCGACAAGCACAATTACAAGTTTAAACCAGCAAGCATTATCATATTTACTAAAGCTAGTTCCCTAAAAAATATAAATAAACAAGGTAAAACTGGAGATTGCAAACCTTTACTTCAGATTTCCGGAGTGTCTTAATCATGAAACGATCATCTTGAGACAGAAAGAAGATACTACCACTTTTCCCAGGAGAAGAAAGTTCTCTGAGAGCATCATTTCCACAAATGGACATCATGTAGTCAGCAGCATCAATCTTGAACATCTCCCTTAAATTCCTACAATGAGTTTTACTTATGTCAACAGGAAAACAAACATAGTACAATATCCACACAAGAAAAATTAGAAAAACAAAATAAATGAACAAAGCTATAGGCAACTTTTGCTTTTTCAGAAAACATATTTATTTAATAGAAAATTTCTAAAGAATACAGGTGCATCACAGAATCCCCAAAGATGCAGCTTGTATATGGTACCAAAAGATACAATTGTAAAATCATAGCTAGATGCAAAGTACTCCTGTGACATATGTAGCATGTTCAGCTTTTAAGTAATGGACTGACACAAGCATTGAATCCTAGAAGCTCTAAATATCTTGGAAATTAAGACTATTAATATTTAAAAACATCAAGGTGCAAGAAAAAACTTAATAGTAATAATTTTCTACAAGAGTTTGCCAATCCGCATAATATGTCTCCCAATTGGCAGGACATAAGTATCACCAAATGGGATCTAAAGGCAAGTTATCTACCCCAAAATTAGCATCAATCATATGGTCTATCAAAATATCTTCTTTTAAAAAATAAAAGGAAAATTAAATTTTAAAACACTTTCCTGCTTTAGAAGAAATATGCAGCTAGAAAGATTAGATTTCTAAAAGGTTATGTAATCTTGACCAAACCATCAAACTGAACCATAGGACCTAATTAAAATTGGGAAAGTCTAAGAAATTCCCAGAGACTATATCAGAAAACATATATTGCATACAGAAATTCTCCATATGGTCACAAAACGGAGGTATCTCTAACCTGAAAACCATTGGGCAGTAATCTTTCCACTTAAAATCTTCTGATTGATGGGGAGGTGTCAATTGAGACCCCTCTTTAGGAAAATTCATCCAAAAGCTTGCCTGGGGGCCAAAGTCTGATGCTCTAACTTGTCGTCTCTGTACAGGTGTAATTTTCCCCACGGTGTATCTAGCCAAATCTAACGTATTCAGCATTAAATTTTCCAAAAACAATGTGACTGCAAAGTGAGGACCAGCTATGGATTCTTTGCCATGATAAATGTAATGTATCTTTCTATGCATTCTTTACAAAAGATACCATAAAATTTAAATTACAATTAAGAAACATTTTTAAGTAGTGGCTGCAACAGGTTCACAAGCAAACATAAATAGTAAATCTATTATCCTGAAGAAAGAAGGCCATAAAGATTCCTAGTTTATACTCATTTAGTCAATCATTTCATACATCTCTTCCAGTTTTCTATTATTATCTGTAAGGAAATTAAACAACGATAGTTGTTCAAACTCTAATTGGCATGAACTATAAAATGATAAACAAAAGCAATAATAAAATATAGAAGGGTAAACAAATGAGAAAATTAAGAGCCATAATTGTCTAATACAAGGAGAAGGGTAAATAAGAACAGAAGTTAAAAACGAATGACAAACCTGATTCCAAGCTGCAAACTGAGCATTAAATCATAACTCCTATGGCCTTTAATGATTGTTTCACCAGGCCTCTTAACCTCTTTTGCTAACTTCTTTTGTCTCCTTTTTGCTCTTCTGGATGATGATGAAAAACCATTATTCAACACAAGCTCACTAATTAAGACACCTTGCATGTATTCACGTTCTAAGATTGGTGCATTTACTTCATGCCTCTTTTCTCCCCATTCTATAAAAGAATCAGATAACTCTAATGACGAATCATGTCCAATCACTTTTTCAATAGATACCTCTAGACTCCAACGTCTTTCCAAGGAAACATTTCTATTGCGAGACTGCTGTAGATTAAATAAGTTTCCTTCTGAGAGCCTATCAGAATTACGATGAGTTACCCTGTTGCCTCCAATCTTGACACTTCCCATGTCTACAGAAGAAGCATGGTGAATATGTGAATGATTGTGCTTTCTCAAATCTGGTAACAATCCTCTTTTTCTGAGAGCATTGAGGTAAACTTCTTGCAAAGCAGAAGGTCGGCTGCCTTTTGAATAAAATGATCCTTTTCCATCCTTTAAACCCCGTGTCCAAGTTCCTATATAGCAACCACCATCACTCCAGGTATAAACTCCAAATCCATGCATCATTCCATTTAACCACCTTCCTTCAAAGGAGTCTCCATTTGTCCAAGTGAGAGTTCCTTTGCCTGACATTTTCCCACCTTTCATATTCCCTAGATAAACATTTCCATTGGCCCAAGTATATTTTCCAGGACCTTCTGGAGTTCCCTTGATCCAATAGCCATCAAACACATCTCCATTAGGATAAACTTGATATCCTAAACCATGTTTCAGATTCAACTTCCATGCCCCCTTATAAGTCAATTTGTTGGAGCCAATATATGTACCAGTGCCATGCATATAACCACCTGAGAATTCACCATCATAAACAGTTCCAGAAGGCCATTGTATTTTGCCAGTCCCATGCGTCATCCCAAGTCTCCACTCTCCTTCATACACACAACCACCTCGCCAAACATACCTTCCTCGGCCCTCTGGCATGTTGCCGAGCAATGACCCAAAATAAGAGTCCCCATTAGGAAGCAAGAGTTCTCCAACTCTAAATCCAGCAGTTTCAGAACTATGGACAGCAACAACATTAGTTAGTATGGAACCGTTGTCTTTGTCAACGATGGCATCAAGAGATTTTGTTCTTTCCGGACAAGAAAGTGCTCCTTCCACGTTATCGACAATGACCATGGGGCCAGACATGCATAATGCCCCGACAGGTTACAGTTTCTTACAAGATAAAATTAAGTCAATCCCAAGGTTCTCATTCGACAATATAAAACACCATAAAAAAAGATTCTTACCATGAGATTCTGATGATAATACCTTAGAAAACTCTCCTTCCTTTGATCTACATATAGAATCAGGAATCCAGGCTATTCATTAGTAGCAGAACAACTTATTTGAACAGTGTAAAAAGAATTTCTCAAGCACAGGAAATCCTACTTAATGATGACTTCACATTCTAAAAACAAAAGAAACCAAACCCAGTGCTTGATTGCAGCATCCAACACACTAGAGAACACCCTTCATTGAAATTAAACTATAAAATCATATAACACATAAAAATTCAAATTAATTAAATTTCCACAAAACTTAAGCTTATAAATTCTTGATTCATTAAATACCAAAAAAATCCAATAAAAAAACAACTCATAGTATAAAATTTTTAAATCTCTACCTCGTATTTTAGCTCATTTTGCTCTTTACTCATTCACAACGACCATAAATCCATCTAAGTTCACTTACCAATGCTCCATCAAAATCTATCACCTAACAAACAAAAAAAATTAAAAGAAAATAAAACTATCTAAACAACAATACAAAAGAATCAACAAATAAACAAATTCCACCAGTTTTTCTATGGCACATAAACCAACTCAACTGAAACTCAAACATTGAAGCATCATTACCAGTATACGTATAAGTATACCAGTATATTTGTAGGTATATACGTACGAAAGTAAGGAAAGAGAAAACAGAGAGTACCTTTAAAGGAAAAGAGAGAGAGACAATCGACGACGAAAGAAAAAGTTGCAACAAAGCAAAGAGAAAAAAGAAACAAACTGTAGACGAAAAAGAAGAAGTTTCGTCGCTGTTTTTACAAGCTGACAATCTGAAACGCTTTGCTTTCTTTCTCTGGCGTTTCGCTTTTGAGAATCAATCTTTTCGATGGTGACGACTTTGGATCGAGTCCTTGAAGCTAAAAACAAGCACCAAAATTTCAGTAAGCAAACCCAAATGCAAAAAATTACTAAGTAGATAAATAAATAAAATCTTAGCATGCGGCAGTTACTGAAAAGACGATCTTACCCAACTCCCCCTTTGATTTTTTACAGTTAACGATAATAATTGGATGATTAATTTTAATCTGTTTAATTAATTAAGACTTAAGATAAGGATTAGTTAAAGTTTAATCTGGAAGGCGATGCAAAGTAAAAACGCCGCTCGCAGGTCGCCTGTAACTCGCGTGTGAATATTGAGGTTCACAACTGCGGGGGTCGGACTTGGGGTTGCTGCCGTTGATGGTGACACGGTGGTGGGGGCCACGATTTTGTAATTAAAATACGACAAATCTTACTCCGTAAAGCTACTCATCTTTTTGGCTGACGTGTGATGAGGTGATTGTAACCTACTCTTCACTGTATCCTAACTTTTCTCGCATTTTTGGGAAGGCCGGGGTGGAACCCCCGGTTTTCCAATGATTTTTTTCAATGGCGGGAAATTATTATATTAGATTAAGACAAAGTCAATTTTTAATTCTTAATTAATTAATTAATTAAACAAATGTGGATTAAACTTGGTAAGTTTTTAATTCGTTAGTATTTTTCAGGGTATGATTAGCCTTTGATTATCAGTTCCCTTTTCTTTTTTTAGTATTTTAGAAAGAGAGATTGACTAAATTGGTAATTCATTAACAATTTATTTTTTTATTTTTATATTCAATTTAAAATTATTAAATAATTAAAAATACATTTTTTGCAATAAAATAAACAAATAAGAAATGTATAATATCATATATTATTATATTCATAAATCCACCTTTAGTCAACGAAATAATAATTCTTAATCTTTCTCTTTAGATAAATCTAACACCGGGGAGGCTTACACCAAAAAAAAAAAAAAATTTAAGAATTAAAGAGGGAGGTTGGGGTTGTTGTTAATTATAATTAGAGATAGGAAAAGAACAATTGTCATTGGATTATTAGCTGGAAAGTTCATGTTATATCTAAATTAGCCAATTAGGGATGCGCTTTTGGGATTGCCTCTCCCACACAATCTAGTGGTACAAAGGTGCTTAATTAATCATTTATTATTATTGTGTATCTTATTTAATTAATTTTTTTATATTGAGTTTGTTTTTATATATTATTAGTAATTTTTTTATTTTCACAAATAAAATTAAAATATTAATATAAGTCTCATTTTTAAATAAATTTTTAATAAATCTTAAAAGATATGTGTTATTTTTTTAAGAATCTATTTAAATAGATGGTAAAATTAACTCTAAAAATATTAAAAATAATAGTAAAAATTTACATTAAACCTAAAAGTTTTAGTGAAAATTTTGTACTGTTGAACCAACTATATGTCATCGATTTATCATTTGGATTTCATTGCTAGATTTTTAAAACTTAACTCCATCTCATTGTAAATATACTTGCATTCAAATTCATTTTAATTTTATTTATTAAATCTAAAAATTTCATTAACAATAAATGAAATAATTTTCCGACAAGACTTTTATTTTTGGTATAAATTTAATAATAATCAATGGCCATAATATAAAGGTGTGGCTGAAGAAATTTCAACAGATAAATTATTTTGTCGGTCAACAGCCATCTTATACTTTATGGAACAAAACTTGACTGATCATAATTAGTTATAGTACATATTAAAAAAATGTTTGGCCAAAGTACATACTCAAAAATTTTTATGACAACTAGAAGAGAATGTTAATTTTCTAGTGGATTCGGTACTTGCCTTTTGATGCAGTGGGTGTTACTGTTGAAAAACAGTAAAAAAAAGAAAAACCCACCATACATAAATCAAATCCCATTTTTAACCTTAAAAAAGGTTTTTTTTTAAAGAATGATATTATCCCTCTTTGAACTTTAGGGTGTTCAGGAAAAAGAGTAAATTGCAAGAAAATTTGACTAAAATTATAATTTAAAGAGATATCAAAATGAAATTTTAAGGAAGGAAATAATATTTATAAGTTATAATTAGATGTGATAATTTAAAATATAATATAACAATATGATATAAATATAATATAAAAAAACATAAAAATGATAAGATTAAAAAATTTAATAATAATTATATATAAGTTTAATAAAAATAAAAATATTTATTATATTTTTATATCGATATAAATTATAATATATAATTTTTAATATTTTATATGATATATTCAAATTGTCAAGTGTAATAATAATGAAAGATTTTTTATTTTGATACATTAGTGGAAGTTAAAAAAATAAAATAAAAATTCAAATCATACACCTCAAGTTGCTTTTATTAGATGCAAAGCAAAATCAAAATCAAAATTAAAATCATTGTAATTCAATTATGAATATAATGAATTTCTCTCTATATATAATAAAAAAGAAAGATACATGTAGGTTTCTTTTAATTTGGGATGATATCTTTGGGCATATTCTAAAAGTAGTGAATAAGGATTAAATTGAGGGAAAAGAAAAGTTGATGTTTGGGACAGGAATTCAGGAAATGATAAAAGGTGAAAGATCACCATACAAATATGGTGCACGTGACATTCTTCTTTTTTAAATTTCCTCGATACAATCCATTCAATACGAATTTTCCGAAGAAAAATGTTTTCCGCCATCAAATCATAATGTTACGTCTATTTCAGATTATCTTTTTGATAAGATAATGCCTTTCTTTTTTAAGTTGAAAAAACATTAGTATAACTTTAATTAGATTTAAGGATTTATGAATTTATATTATATAAAATATTAAAATTTATATATTTATATTATATTTTATATAAAAATTATATATCATGATTTATATTATCATAAAACTATGAATTGTATTTTTTTTATTTTATTAAATTTATATATAATTATTATTAAAATTTTAAATTATATTATTTTTATATTTTTTATTTGTATTATATTTATATTATATCATGTATTTTAAATTATTATTTTTTTAAAAAAATTTTAGAATAGATAAATTATTCAATCTTCAAATCAAAGGAAAATATATTGTATATTCGAGATAATCTCAATAAATAATCATCGATAATATTTGATTTCAAAATTTTTTTATCGAAAAAAATAATTTTAACAGATTAAACTAATCATTTTATTAATTTATATTTTAAATTATGAGATCTATGTTTGACGATGTTCTAACTTTCTTTCCTTCTGTCTTTTATTATTTAATTTTTTTTTTAATTTTGGCATTTTGAGTCGGTCAGACTATGTTTCCGCTTTAATTACCCTCTATTTTGTACAATAATTTCTTTATATTAAAGTTTCAACTTTCAAGATGCTATTAGATTACATAATGTTACTTGATAAGTTCAGTAGACCTATTGTTCATGCGTGTTTATTGAGCTGTCTTTCACCTTTTCACCCTAGCGCCTTACGCTTTGCTTTTCTTTTCTTTGTAAAATAGAGAGACTTTTTGAGAATGAAAAGCAAGCGTAAGGGATGGAAGATAAAATTTGTACGAAATTTTATAAATGAAGTTTGTAAAAGTTTTTATTAAAAATAAATTAATAAAAAATTTGAATTAATAAATTGATAAAATTTAATATAAAAATTAATAATATATAAAAATATAATTAAATATATTATTTATAATTTAAATTTAATTGATATTTATTTAACGATTAAAATTATATCAATATTTTTATTAAAAATATTTATTTAATAAATATATAAAAATTTATTAAAAAATTTTAAAATTATGCGGTTTGACAGAAATCTTCTACAAAATAAACAATATGATTAAAAATGATATGAAAAACTTGCAGCGACGCACAAGATAAATACAAGTTATATATTTAAAAAAAAAAATCAAAATCGGGGTTGAAAAGTATCTTAAACAGCTTAACGGCATTAGTAGTTAAATTAAATATTTTAAAAATCTACTAGAAATTCAAAATTTTAGGTGTTGACCATATATATTGCTTGATGACTTTCATTTCTACTTAAAATTATTAAAAATTAAATATTTTACCGAAAAATTATTTTACTGCTAATTTATATGATGAATTTCATTTTTAAAAATTTTTTATTTATTATATTTATATTATTTTTATATCAAATCTTGATATTTTATTTTAAATTTTCAAATTTAAATTTAAATTAACTTTTTAAATATAAAATATTATTAAATCAAATATTAATTAAGGTGTTGCGACTGAGCCCTTTATTTTTCAACTTCCCTTAATTGGCTACCCTTGAAGGTTGGGTGGAACTAAATCGACCTTATTTTTTCCTAGCTAGGATGCCTTTGGTTGAAGAAGATCATTGATGCGTACCTAACAAAGGGATTAATGCTTTCTGATGTGATGTGTTTTGCTTTTAAATTTTGAAAAATAATGTGGCATAAGCACGTGGGAAGAATATGAGAGATCGTAAAAATTGGGTCGGTTGCTGATGATTAAGACAGCCGATAACATTGAGACATATAATGCAAAATGTCACCCTCCACTTCCAGCGTTCGACTGCTTAAATCTTCTCAACACCCTTTCCATCTTGAGTTCCTTTAATTTTCACGAAATTAAAAAAAAAATTAAACTGTAGTTTTAATATATTTAATATTAAAATTTAAATTTTTTATTTTTAATATAAAGAATAAAAAAATTTAAAACATAAATTTAAAATATAAAAAATAAAAATTTTAGATATTTAAAAAAATACATAATTTTGAGATATCTTGAAAAAAGATAATTAAATAAAGAGATAAAAAATGTAATTATTATGAATTGATTTTTTTTATAAAAGATTATAATTTGAATATAATAAACAAATTATAAATATTAATATTTAAATTTTTTATTTTTTATAAAAACTAAACAAACAAAACCATGTAAAAGAATCGAAATAACGAATTAAGTAGGAAAATGGACCAAGTTTTATGTCTAGGAGAGTAAAATGTTAGATTTAATATTATTAAAATTTTTTGAAGCCCACTGATGAATGATCGGTTTAATCGATTAAGATTCGTTTTTTTTAATAAAAAAATATTAAATTCGAGTTCTGTCGGTAATTAC